CCCAGGTTTCAGGCTCGATCCCCTGTAGGGGGCGTGCAGGAGGCAGCCAATCAATGACTCTCTCATCATTGATGTTTCTCTCTCTCCCTCTCCCTTCCTCTCTCTGAAATCAATAAAGATATATTTTTAAAACCCCCAAAAAAACAGCCAAAGAGAAAAGGTGAAGTGTCAGAGAGGAGGGGCCACCATGCACGTTTTTGGAGGGGAGGTGGTTGCAGCCTGCCTTGTCCCACTGGGAAGCTATGTCCACCCACACTGCTCTGAGGAGCTTCATTGGCTCAACGACTGCCTGTGACCTTGGCTGACACTTGGAGAGATGCTCCAGTGGATTTCCCACCTGAGAGCCTGGCCTCTCTGCCCTGAGCCTCTATCAAACACGCAGTTGACCTTTGTCCAGGGAGCTGGAGCAGGTGGTAAACTGGGTATTGGAGGTGATTAGAATATCACTTCCTGCAGCCAGTAAAGCACTGGGCCAGCCTGCCATCGGCTGTATTTCTTTGCATGGGTCTCAGGAAGTCTGAATACTCACCAAGAGTGCCTGGTAGGTCAGCGCACAGGTCAGCTTGTCTCAGTTGCTGTGGCCCTGTAAGTGCAAGCCAGCCCTATGAAGGTAAGCTTATATCCTGGGCCCAGGGGCAAGTCAGTCCCAAGATCCTGAATGGACTACATTGTGATGTCATACCACTGGGGTGGCTCCCACAAGACCTGCTGTCACTGCTGGTGTCAGGGGACTGAGAGCTCCTCCTGAACAAATTAGCACATCTGGGTACTGTTCTGGGCTGGCACAGCTGGAGAAAATGAGAGGTGCCTGTCCTGGAAGAGATCAGTCAGCCTGGGAGAAACCACCCCAATGCCACATGTTCTTACCCCTGCCTAGCCTGGGTCAATGCAGTTACACCACGCCTAGTTTTCCCACACAAATAGACCGAAGGGGGTAATCCTAACCCTTCACCATTCCCTTTGCACACTTTCTTTTTTTGTTTTTTTTAAATATATCTTCATTAATTTCAGAGAGAGGGAAAGAGAGAGAGAGAAACATCAATGATGAGAGAGTCATTGGTCAAGCCCGCAACCTGGGCATGTGCCCCGACCAGGAATCGGACCCTGATCGCCCGGATCCCAGGTCGACGTTCAACTGCTGAGCCACGCCCGGCTGGGCCCTTTGCACACTTTCTATGTTTGATTTAAAAGTCTAGGGCAGACCCCTGACTTTTCCCCTATTGCCCACCTGGTGTGTTCAGAGGGCAACCAAAGGAATAAAGGAAAACAAACAGGAATATAAATCTCCCCCACTCTCTGTCTGTCTCTTTAGTCAAATCCAACACAGATATCTTTCAGGTTATCTTCTATAGTATATATGCTTGTCTTTTCCATTGGCGGTCATTGGTAATTAGGCACAACTTATATTTAATAAGCCCCCTCCCTAAAGAAAAACTCACAAAAAGGGCCAAAGTCTAAAAGGTTTCTAGAAGCTCCACCCCCTTTCTCCTCCGGTGCTTCAGGTTGGGAGCGAGAAGCATTCTTACCAAAGGGGCAAGTGAGCTTGCCTTGGAGTCTAAAATTTAAAGTCTAAAATAGTGGTTTTCAAATGTTAGGTTTGTTTAAATCACCTGAAAGGCTTATTAAAATACAGACTCCTGGGCCTCACCCCCAGAGTTCCTGATTCAGGAGGTCTGGGGTAGGTCCCAAGAGTGTGCATTTCTAACAAGTTCCCAAGTGATGCTGCCACTAGTCCAGGGAGCACACTTTGAGCAACAGTGCTTGAAAACGTAAGGGGTGCTGGGCTCCTGGGTTTGATTCTACAATAGCAGTGCCGGCTGATAGCAGTATTCTGGGGTTGCCGGAGAGCAAACAGGAGCTGAGGCCTCTGGGTTCCACCAACCTGCTTCATTGAAGATCTGCTCACTGCCAATGCTGAGCCATGTTGGGAAGGCACAGCTGATGTGTGTGTCCTGCCCACAGCCTCTTGGCTTTATCACTTCAGGGCACAAAAGTAGCCTGACTTCCTGCTGCCACGACCTGTGTGTGTCTCTTTGCTTGGGGACTGCCTCCAGCTGCTGGAGCCCACCTACCTGCAGGTGGTACAGATGCAAGGCCAGGAATTAAAGTCTCCCCATGAACATCCTCAACTGATGACTGTTAGCGGTTGGTAGATAAATACCCCAGCTCCCTCCCGCTCAGTGTGGTAATGTAGAGGCGTGCCCAGTACCATCTCCCAGAGGTCCCCACAAGACCGAGTCTCAGCTGCCCACAGTGGTAACTGGCTTGATAACGCAGCCTACCTTGCTGCCCTCCCTCTCCTGGCTCACTTCCTTGCTGCCCCGAGTTTTCTGAGATGGCCCCCTAAATCAGTGACTTGCAACTTGAGTCCTGGTTTCAGGGTCTGCTTTTGGGGGAATCCAAACTAAGACATCATGAATAAGGAGTGGTTTCTGTCCTTAAGTTCACATTTAGAGGGGGTAAGACACATAACGTAACTTCGCATGATTAGGAATTTCTAGGAACTGCTGATAGTTTCAGGTCTCTGGGCAGATGAAGGTGTTCTGCTGGTTGCCCTTTAGAGTGTCATCAAGGGTGCTTTGGGGAAATGCGGGAGCTCAGCCTGTACTCTCAGGTGGAGGCAAGCAGGGAGAAAGGGCCTGGCAACCTGGCCCACAGACCTTTTCTTCCACACAGGAAGGCCAGTATGTGGTACCTGGCAGGGCACTGATTTGCTATGCAAATTCCTCCTGCTTTTCACCTTTCCGGACAATTCCTCCTGAGATAAAAATATGCAGGTGGACCTGGCACCATATAAAATATGACTCTGTTAGGTCCAGGGGCTGGTGGATGCTTGGAGAAGGGTTGATGGGGGTCTCTGCTGGCCTGATCGGATTAATATGATTTCCTAGGTGCCCAGCCCCAGTCATGGCTGTACCCAGCCTCACACCTGTAGTTAATCCAACTCCTCCATTGTGTTCAAATGGGCCACAGTCCCCGCAACTCCTCCCATGTATTCCTTTCCGTTATCATCAGCAGTCCTCCCAGAGTCCCTCCACACAAACATACAGTCCAAATGACAACACTGCACATGGCATCAAAATACTCCTTACATCAAGATCCCACCCCCCTTTAATCAGACCCTTCATGCACAGAAGTTCCGGAACTGCCCCTGAATGGACCCAGTCGCTGCTTGGCTGGGCAATTTCACAGGTCATCTTAGGGAGCAAAGCACTCCAAAGTTCTTCTTTCCTCACATTTCAACTTGCTTAGAAGGAGAGTGAAGCCTCTTGCAGTAGAGCACTGAGTCAATAACAGTATTAACCTTTTCAGCATTACCCAGGGCTCAAAAAATAATTGGCTACAAAACAGCTATTAGCTCTGTGTCTAAACAAAAGAATCACATCATGAATGGGCCCAATTCTGACAGAGCTCAGGACAGAGCTAAGAGGTTTAAAAGGCTTATATGTCTTCAAAGATAGCAGTCTCAATGTCCACCTCATATTTTACACACCCAAAGCCACAAAAATGCCTTTGACCCAATCATTTTACTTTTGTGATTAATTTAAAGGAAAAACCAAAAAATATTGTTTTATATAGAACATATATATAAATATACATAGAAATGATATTGCTAAATAACTAGAAATCTGTGCACTCATGTGTTAATTTCAGCATTATTTAGAATTGTAGGAAATTGGAAATAATTTAAATGTCTAATAGAGAAATGATTAAATACATTGTAGAGAATCTCCTTGTTGGACTATTAAGAGCCGTTAATGATTTAATGGTCATGAAGACTACAGGGTAACAGAGAAGAATGTTAAGATTAAAGGTAAATTTAAAAAACAGAGAATACAAATAATTACAACTACGAAAACATTTGCCTGTGAAAAATGCTCAGCATCATTAATGATCAGGAAAATACAAGTTAAAACCACCACACACTCACAGGAATGGACAAGACCAAGAAGAGCAGCAATCCTGGGTGCTGGTGAGGCTGTGGAGTAAACTGAACTCCCAGACACCATGAAATGGTACCACCACTTCGGGAAATTGTTTGGTATTTTCTATAAAGTGAAAGATACAGATCTACCCTCTATGACCCAGCAATTCCACTTCCAGGCACTTACCTAAGAGAAATGAAAACATATCCACAATTGTACAAGAATGTTCATAGCCTTCTGCAAACTAGGACACACTTTACAATGTTAGTTGTGATGTTTCTCATAATAAAGTAGGTCCCTGCCTTTCCTCACCCTTTCCTCACCATCTTTCACTCAGGTTCCTAAAAACTGTCAAGCACATTCCTGCCTCAGGGCCTTTGCACATGTTATTACCTCTGCTTAGAAGACCATTGTGCCTACCTCTTCCCTCAGCTAGTCCCTTCAGATGGCTCAGATTTCGATTCCAGTGTCACTTGAGGCTTTACCTAAACACCCTACAATAGCTTCCTCCCCACTATCATTTTCTACCTCACCGACCCTGTATTATTATTATTAGTATCTGAAATCACTTTGTTTTGTATAGAAAGTAGATGTCTGTTTTGTTCGCTGCTCCATCTCCAGCCCCTGGAGCATACGAGGTGCTCAAAAATCATTTATCGAATGAATGAACAAATACTTATTGATAACTAGGTGACACACTATTTATCCAGTTCAGTCTGCCAACTGTTTTCCAAAAACAAGAGACTGTGAGGCAAACACCGCTGGTCCCCACCTCTGCCGAGAGCGGGAAGGCACCCCAGTGGCCGAAGGACCCTGCCCGAGACGTGCCTGGCAGCCACGGGTCCAAATGTTTGCCCCGGACGCTGTGCTGGGTGAGGCTCCAAGCCAGCGCCGTGTGGCCAGGACCCGGGAACAAGGGGAGCCTTGTGCTGCCCACAGAGATGGGGGCTCTGAGAAGGGCTGGGCAAGCACCCCCTCCGACTGCACACCCCTCTTCCAGCCAGGGGCCCTGCTCCTGCTCTTTCCCCCCTCCTTTCCCGACTGCTGGGGCGGAATGGGGCCAGCCAGCCTCACCTTTTTTCCCCGTGGCTCTCCACGCGGGGTTCCTTTCAAGTGCTCCTGCCTCGGAAGAAGCCCTGCCAGCGCCACAGTGGAATTTTCGAATCCATGCCAAGGATGGAGCTCATTAATTTTCCTGCCTGAAAGAAAGAAAACACTTCTTTAGGAACTGGCGTGTTCAGGGCGCTGCTGAAGGAGAGCGAGGCCTCTCTGCAGGGAGGATTAATCCAGGTTGTAGGTGGGTCATTCGGGGAAAACCCAGCACACGGCCAAGGCCTCCACGGCCTGCGAGGCCCGAGCACCTCCACACCCAGGGCCCGGCGCTGCCCGGGGCCGAGGGCCGGGTGGCACTGCTCAGAGACTCGAGCAGGGGCGGGAATGCACCTCCGTCTCTCCCTGAAGTGCCCACCGGTACATTTCCAGAAAGTTCTTTTGCCCTCTCTCTTCCTTCCTCTTTTGAAACGTGCGTGACTCCTGGAGGGGGTCACAGCTGAGGCCCTGCTTTTCAAACTGGAAAACAGGTGGGCCGTCCCCAGTGCCTGGACTTGACACCACCATTTAAATAGCCAGAATCTTTTTCACAGTGGTATGTAATGTAACACTTCATTTTCTATTAAAGCAAACAACGCGTATTTATTCATAGAAAATCGTGTAGAAAGGAAAGAGTGGAAAATGTCACCTGGGGTGTTTGGGACTTCAGGTGATTTTCTACATTTTTCTTGATACTTTGTGTTGTATTATCTGCATTATATATTCATATACGTCGCTCTCATGTCATAAAAATAACAGTGAAATGGTTTCCATTTTTAGAAAATCTGCCTTTGTGGATGTATTTTGGAAAATAATGCAAAAAATCCAATGGACCTTAATTTAAACTGAACGCCTTCCTGGTACAAATGGTTTAGAGGCCAGAGACCTCCATCCTCAGCATCCACCTTCACGCTCTCCTGCCGTTACAGGCATTTGGGTGAAAATGTTTGAGGAGCATTGCACGGTAAGTCAGTAAAACTTTAGTCTGAGTTAGTCTAGTTTCTCTCTCTCTCTCTCTCTCTCTCTCTCTCTCNATTGCACGGTAAGTCAGTAAAACTTTAGTCTGAGTTAGTCTAGTTTATCTCTCTCTCTCTCTCTCTCTCTCTCTCTCTCGCGCACATGTACACACAAGCACGTACACACACACACACACACACACACACCCTCAGATAGCATCTAGAACTCTGTAAGTCTGTAAACTCACAATGAAATGACACTGTAAGAAGGAATGGAAGTTGCCTAAATTAAACTGGCTAACTGAATTCTGCCCAGGCCTGGGTTTTCTTGACCACAGTGACCAACAGCAATCTGAAGAGTGTCAAATGGGGCTACCAAATAAGTTCTCATCTCTCTAAATAGGAACTTTCTGCAGCACACATTCAGATAGGAGATTGGAGTGTTTTGTGAGCCGAGACAGTCTGCTTGATCTATTAGTTGGTCGAAGGGCCTGCCAGGCCAAAGGCAAAAAACTGGACTTAATTGCCCTACCAGGCCCTTCTGGATTTTATTATTCTTTCTTTTTTGCTTCTGGTTTAAAGACTCTCTTCAAAATTCTCACTAATAATCTTTAAAGCTGATTAACAGAGTTTGAGAAGAGCCACACGATGATTACGTGGTTGAGGAAAAGACATGGAAGAAAGCTTTAAGGAGCTGCTGTTTTTAAGTCTGGAGGGAAGAACCCAGGAGACGGGATAGAATAATGATTTTTAAGTGCCAGGCACTTACTAGCACACACTCCGTGAACACTTAACAGAGTACACAGTGAGGTAGGTGTGATTTAAGACAGACGTAAGAAAGGATTTCCCGAAGCTAAAAGCAGCTCATTGCAGAACTGGAAATCACAGGGAATTCAGAGAAAAACACAAGACTCAGGCCTTTTATAAATTTTTATCATTATTGAAGAGCTATAATTCTTGTACACAGAATCTACCAACAAACTCTGGTGCCCAGTTGTCCTGCAGCAGCCTCTCAATGAATGAGGTCATGGGGAGAAAATGTATTCAGAGACTTTGTGGAGGAAGCGGGTTTTTTGTGGGTTCTTCAAGGGCAAAGAAGGAGCAAGGTCAGTCCAACTTTGTGCCCCCCACCAACAAGAGGGTGCCTGGCAAACCTAACGCTCGATTCCAGAATGAATGACCAAAGGCAGCCCTTGAGAGATGGAGTGGGAGAAGATGGTTCACAGTTGGGGAAAGTGTGCTTTGGGCAGAGGTACCAAGTGGGCATAGATGGGAATAGGTGGAAATTGTAGGGGGTGGAACCAGGCTATGGGATTCCACAAAAGCCAGGTGGAGAGATGAAGATTTGATGTGATGGGAATCATTTTAGGCTCCTGAAGGGGAGGCAAGACAAGATGGAAATAATGGTTTTAGAATGTTAGGTTTGCTAAAAGTGAGCAGGATGGATTGGAAAGACAAAGAGAAAAATAGGTCTTTCATAGTATCTGTATACCATTTCACTCTTTACTTGGGAGCATTTACCACAAGCTGAACATTAGTCTAATGAATTATTGATTGCTTGCCCCCATCTCTACTTGGCTATAAGCTCACTGAACATAGGGTCCTATTTTTCTTGTTTTCTTTTGAATTCTTGGCACCTAGTATAGACCCTAGCATGCATCAGTGCTCCATAAATATTTATGGATAAAGTAAATAAAGCAGAAATTGCAGGGAAAGTTCTAGTCCTGAGTTCTTCATCACTGGTAATCTTAGAGAAGAGCCAAGATGTCTGACTATCTAGGTTAGTTAAGGATACTTTCCGCTCAGGGACAAAAAATGAATGAAGCCCCATGTGCCTTCTAACTCAATGGCCCTCGGATTTTGTCTCAAGAAAAATAAGACCCTATGTTCAGTTAGCTTATAGACAAGTAGAGATGGGGGAAAGCAATCAGTGTGAGGCATCTAGCCATGCCAGGCTGACCTCAGGGCCATGAAGTGTTTCTCATGACTGATATTTCCCATCTGAGAAAGAGAGCTATAATTCCAGAATTCCCAGGACAACATAGCTAGGCAGCACAACTGGACAGTGTCTACAGTTCAATTAAAACATTTTTGATAGTTTACCAAATGCTCACTGTTTTCCAAGGAGTAAACTGAAGGGGAGACCCCATGGAGTCCTGGAAGGTCAGTGGAAAGGAGAAACATTTCAATAAGTCATAGGATCTGTTACACTTGCTCGTTTCCCCATTGGCTTTTCCATGGAAAAGCAGAGAGATGAATCATGGAAAGATGCCATTTTTGGAGTCTCCAAGGCTTATTTAACTTTGTCATTTACAAGTGTGAAGTCTTGAACAAGCTACTGCACTTTTCTGAATGTCAGTTGCCTTACCTGTAAACTGAGGGTAATGATAACTCCCCCCTCTCATGGTTCTAGTAAGGATCATTTGCAAAGCACTTTAGAAACAGGAAAGTGCCAGGCAACCCTCATTCATCTAGTTTCCCCATCTTGTTTTCTTTGGAGATTCATATCCAGCCATTGGATCAATCCTCATTTTTGCAAAAGCTCCTATAGCTAAGCTCAGTTTCCAATATCATCCACACAGCAAACCATTCTTAACCAGGTTATTTTTTGCTACCCTTAGCAACCATAAAAATTGGTAATTTGGGTTCACTCTTACCATCTCTCTTTTTTGTGTAAGTTTTATTTTTCTTTTGCCAATTATTACAACTTATCTATAGAAATTTTTAAAAAAGTTTTGTTGGACCAACTTTTTTTTAAATTAAATTTATTGGGGTGGCATTGGTTAATAAGATCATATAGGTTTCAAGTGTACATTTCTATGATACATGATTTGTATACTGCATCGTGTGCCCACCACCCAAAGTCAAATAATCTTCCATCACCATATATTTGGCCCCCTTTACCCTCTACTACCCCCATCCCTTCCCTCTGGTAACCACCATACTCTTGTCTGTGTCTATGAGTTTTAGTTTTGTATCTCATATGAGTGAAATCATATGGTTCTTAGCTTTTCCTGACTACCTATTTCACTTAGCATATTCTCAAGGTCCATCCATGTTGTTGCAAATGCCAGTATTTCATCTTTTCTTATGGCTGAGTTGTATTCCATAGTATATATGTACCACATCTTCTTTATCCAATCCTCTATCGAAGGACATTTTGGTTGTCTCTATGTCTTGGCCGCCTTGAATAATGCTGCAATGAACATAGGGTGCATATATCCTTGTGAATAAATATTTTTGAGTTTTCTGGCTAGATAACCAGACGAGGGATTGCTGGGTCATGTGATAACTCTATTCTTAATTTTTTGAGGAACCTCCATACTGTTTTCCATAGTTGCTGTACCAGTTTAAATTCCTGCCAGCAGTTAATGAAGTTTCCTTTTTCTCCACAACCTCGCCAATATTTGTCACCCGTCTTGTTGATAATTACCATTCTCACAGGTGTGAGGTGGTTTCTCATTGTAGTTTTGATTTGCATTTCCCTAATATCTAGTGAAGTTGAGCATCTCTTCATATATCTATTGGCCATTTGTATGTCTTGGGAGAAGTGTCTGTTCAGGTCCTTTACCCATTTTTTAATTGGATTGTTTGTTTGGTCGGTGTTGAGTTATATGAGTTCTTTATTTTATTTGTTTATTTTATAATATATCTTTATTGATTTCAGAGAGAGGAAGGGAGAGGGAGAGNAGGTGTTGAGTTATATGAGTTCTTTATTTTATTTGTTTATTTTATAATATGTCTTTATTGATTTCAGAGAGAGGAAGGGAGAGGGAGAGAGAGAGAGATAGAAACATCAATGATGAGTCATTGATCAGTTGCCTCTTGCACACCCCTGACTGGGGATCGAGCCTGCAACATGGGCATGTGCCCTGACCAGGAATCGAACCGCGATCTTCTGGATCCTCGGTTGACGCTCATCTGCTGAGCCACGCCTGGCCAGGCTATATCAGCTCTTTATACATTTTGAATATAAACGCCCCTTGGAGCTGTTGTTTGCAAATATCATCTCCCATTCTGTCGGTTGCCTTTTTGTTTTGTCAGTTTCTTTTGCTGTGCAGAAGCCTTGTAGTTTGATATAGTCCCATTCATTTATTTTTGCCTTTACTTCCCTTGCCTTTGGGGCCAAATTCGTAAAATGTTCTTTATGACCAAGGTTCATAAGTTTATTACCTTATTAATTTTTCTTAATTTATTGTTTCAGATCTTATATTTAGGTCTTTGATCCTAAATCTATTGAGTTAATTTTTGTACATGAGGACAAACTGTAATGTAGTTTTATTCTTTTGCATGTGGCTTTCCAATTTTCCCAGCATCATTTATTGAGGAGGATTTCTTTTCTCCATTGTGTGTGCTTTTGGCTCCTTTGTCAAAAATTATTTGCCCATATACATGTGGTTTTATTTCTGGGCTCTCAATTCTGTTCCATTGGTCTGTGTGTCTGTTTTTCTGCCAATACCATGCTGTTTTGATTATCGTAGCTCTGTAGTATCATTTGAAGTCAGGTAGTGTGATACCTTTGGCCTCATTCTTTTTTCTCAGGATTGCTTTGGCTATCAGGGATCTTTTGTGGTTCTATACAAATCTGATTTTCTTTTATTCTATTTCTTTAAAAAATGACATTGGGATTTTAGTGGAGATTGCATTAAATCTGTATAATGGTTTGAGTAATATGGCCACTTTAACTATGTTGATTTTTCCAATCCATGAACTCAGAATATCTTTCCATTTCATTGTATCTTTTTCAATCTGTTTTAAAAATGCTTTGTAGTTTTTAGTAGGTCCTTCACATCCTTTGTAAGTTTATTCCTAGGTATTTTATTCTTTGGGCTGCAATTGCAAAAGGATTTTTTTCCATTTATTTTTCTGAAATTTTACTATTCATATACAGGCAAGCAGTGGATTTTGTATATTGATTTTGTATCCTGCAACTTTACTGTATTTGTTTATAGTTTCTAATTGCTTTTGGTGGAGTCTTTGAGGTTTTCTATATTCAGAATCATGTCATCTGCAAAAAGTGACACTTTTACTTCTTCAATCCCAATTTGGATGCCTTTTATTTCTTTCTCTTGCCCTATTGCTCTGGCTAGGACTCCCAGAACTATGTTGAATAAGAGTGGTGAGAGTGGGCATCCTTGTCTTGTTCCTGATTTTAGAGGAAAAGCTTTCAATTTTTCACCATTGATATAATATTAGCTGATAGGGTTTGCCATATGTGACCTTTATTATGTTGAGGTACTTCCCTTCTATACCCATTTTATTGAGTGTTTTAATCATAAATGGACATTGCATCTTATCAAATGCTTTTTCTGCATTTATTGATAAGGTCATATGATTTTTGTCCTTTGTTTTATTAATGTGGTGTATTACACTGATCAATCTGCATATGTTGCATATGTTGAAGGAGTGATTTTTCTTTACGTGTATAACAACATTACTCTGATTTTGAGTAATAATACTTCAGAATTTAAATTGTCTGGGATATCATAGGTCCTCTGCTCTAGAAATGTGCTGGCTTTAGAGTAGAAGGATCCGCATTCTGTTTTTAAACTTTTAAACGCTACATCTGTGTTCAAAGGAGTTCAAAGGTCCTTACATTCATGCATTCATTAAAGAAATATTTATGAGTTTTGGACCAACACTGTTGTTGCCTTGTTCACATCCCCTCTGCCATTCCTGTGCATACCAACAGCCTCTGATTTCAAATACCAGCAACCTTCTTCCCCAGGGCTTTCTCTGGGGTTTGGGCTGGAAACGCCAGGAGCTGCCTAGCCATGCTGACCCATGATGGATAGGAGTTGGTAAGTAAGTACTCCAGCATCCTTGCTTCTCAGTTTGGGCAACTCGGAGGCATCCTTGATACTGTCTCCCAGAGTTCCTCAATGGCTTAGGCTTCAGCTGTCCACAGTGGACCTTGCTGATGATACACTGTTCACTGGCTGTCTCCCCTTCCTTGTCTCATGTCTTTACTTCCTTTCTGGTGATTCCTGGGATCACCTTCCAAATAAACTGGTTTCACTCAAATCTTTTTCTCAAGGTCGTCATCTGAGGACCTCCAACCTAAGGTGAAATTTTACCAGAACCAAGGCATTGGGCTAGGTGTTTAGGGAACATAATGATGCAGCAGATAGAGCCACTGACTCCAAGTCCACAGTCAGACAGGGAGTGAGATGTGTGCAGAAATGTCAACACGAACATGTACAATATTTCATTTTTTTAATCCTGTTGCACGCCCCTCCCCCATACACACACGCGCACACACTCCTCTCTGGTTCAGAATAATATTTACGGAACATGTATTTACTGAGTCTCTACTCTGTAAAGGTGCTAGGTCAGAATTGGGTAGAAGACACTATTGTGACCACTCCCCTCCTAACTCCCACCCCCTTCTGTGCCCTCTAGGCATTCACCTTCAGCCAAGGGCTCCTTGCTGCTTTGCTCTGGCTGATGGAGACAAGTTAAAGCTCTCAACCAACAAGGCCTGGGAGTGGGTAGATAAATAATCCACTTCCTCACCCCACAGGTAGGACATCTTTGGGGTGTGTACCACATGGTTTCTGAAAGCCCAGAGACAGTGAGCCCTGGTTGCATACAGGAGTTGCTTGATACTGTGCTCTTTATCAGCTCCTTCCCATCCGATTTCTCTGCCATGATTTCCTGTGATCATCCCCAAAATGAGTGACTTGAACCCAAACCCTCCTGTCAGGATCTCTTTCTGAGAAAACCTAAACAGTAAGTAATATAAAGGAAGCCTCTGCCCACAGAAAGGCCCTTGAGGACAGTTGGGTCTTTACTGGGTCAGTGTATCACTCAAGGCAGCTTTCGAACACAAATGAATGAATGAATTTCCTGTCTAAAACCTAGAGGGGGCAATTATTATGCTAGAGGCATATACCCATTTTTGGAGAAGTTAACTGGTTTACTCATGCTCAGTTAGAACTAGATGGTAGCATATGCCAGCTAGGAGCTGGATTTCTTGATTTTTATTTCAAGCCAGAGCTCGCCACTGGAAAGCTAATCCAGGTTAATTCCTGTTGATTAATCATTAATATGCTAAGGAACTGCTGAGATTAAAAATAGGAATGAATGGTGTTATTTCAACCCAGCCCCTCTTTATTCCCTCGACAGCTTATATTTTCCACATCTTCCTAACACTAACTAGTATAGTACCAGTGACCAAAAAGGCGGTTATGTGAAATTGTCCAAGAAATGGATATTAGGAACAGGATTCTGCAGCCACAGGGGCCAGGGAAGTCATGTGGGGCAGATCAGGCTTGGGCAGCCCTTTTGGCCTCTCAGAAACCTTAATTTCAAAGACAAGTTCAAAGAGTTAGCTTTAAGAGACACTGATATAACAGTTAAAAACCAGGCTTAAAATGATCTTAATTCAAAGACTCGCTTGGTTATGAAGAGAGAGTGTTGGCTTACATTGGGAAATAACTTCATGTAATGAAGAAGTACTGTTCGCTCAGTTTTCTGGGAAATGGATGTTTTATTCAGTCAGACCCGCTCGCCCTCCCATCACAAGGAGTAAAAGCCATATGGTGGCCTGTGATTATTGCTCTGCCAGCTGTGGTTTGGATGAGAAACTCAGACTATGCCTCAGTTGTACCCCCCCTAAAAATGAGTGCAATGATGTCCATCCTCCAATTCCTTATGCATTTTCTGGCCTTTCCACCCAATTCCTCCATTTACTCAAGAAAATTCTTTCCGGTGCTGATTTCAGTCTCTTTGAAACTAGAGACTTGACCTCCCTGGATTGACAT